CCCCCCCCCCCCCCCCCCCCCATCCTTCTATAAATCAGTGTCCATTGGTGTCATAACCCCAAAGCAGTGCTCCAAGCCTTCACTCTCCATGCTTGTGATTAATTTCCAGTGTCGCATAGCTTGTTTTTTCCTTGATCACTTTGCCTCCATTTCCCTTTTCTATTTCCTTTCCCCTACTTTTTCCTCCTCTCTTTGCCTCTTGTGGCTAAACACAACCTGCCCCCATGCCTCGCCTGTCCCTGTCCCACACCTGTAGCTTGCTCCTGAAGTGCGTCGGCTGAGGGAACGGTGTGCCAAGACCAAACGCGAACTGGCCATGAGGCTGTCTGGCAAGCACAACTGTGACATCAAGGTATATCTCCAGCAGCAAGTGAACACAGCTATATCACACTATTTCTTCGCAGAGCTCAAATCACTCCGATAGATGTTTCCCAACAGGATTGATTATCACCCAGAGCTGAAGTATGCTGTGTTGTATGCTCAGTTGACTCAGAGGCTTAACTGACTCTCTGCACCATCCTTCCCAGCTTTCCTTTGGACTGTGACTTTGCTTTGAGACTCTCTGTTGGCCTATCTCTCTCCCTCCCTGTCTGGTTTAATATCAAGATGCATTTATGGGACGCATGAATTATTAAATAATATTCTGCGTATTTACTTCCATCAACACCAGTGCAGCTTGCCCCCAATTAATGACCTACTTTCCTTAAGTAGTGTCATTTAAAAATACTACCACCCTGGGTGTATTCTTGGTCTGTGGAGTCTGGTTGCAGGGCCACTGTGATGCTCAGGGTGGAGTCTGTGGTCAACCGAATTCTCCCGCACTGAGCAAAGCAGCCCTGTAACTCTGATGTGGCGCTCACTCTGTTACCATAATCTCTCCATGATATGCTCGTAGACTTTCTGATTAGAGGCTGTACAGTGACCCACAGGGAGTCGCAGATGGCGAGATTCATGATGAGCACACAGAGCGCCACTTCTCTCCATCTCTCTCCAGAGGAGCACCGTAGGTTATCAAATCTCCACAGCATGGCACTTTCCTCGTGCTCTAACGCTCCTGCATTGTTTTTGTCTTCTTCCAACCAGGTTCAGCAGCTCATGAAGGCGGCGAGAAGCGGAACAAAGGATGGGCTTGAAAAGACCAAAATAGCCGTCATGCGAAAAGTTTCCTTCCTGCAGAGAAAAGATCAATTGGGTAATGCACGGGAGTCTGAGAAGTTTGTAAATGTTGGTCAGCTGGCTTTTTTGGATGAAAATTTTACTATTTTTTTAGTAATGGGTATTGGTTATGAAGTTTGGGTTTTCTAACTCCTTACAGTTGACTCTTTGAATTATAGACAGTTGCTTACAGTGTGTGTAAAGCTAGTCAGGCCAAAGTAGTGTTTTGAGGCAGATAGAGTAGAAAGTCTAACTTTTTCTTTATACAAATTCCTTTAGGGATAAATGAAAGCACTTTGAAAAAGAAAGATCTCAGTTATTATAACTATAATAAATAAAACAGACAGGCTTTCACAGTTTTAAGAAAGATGATGTCGAGTTGAGATGGTCGAGTAAGGTTTTGGATGTTTGAGAAAGAGGAGGATGAAGCAACTCATGCGGCACAATATAGGTTGTGTCATAGGAACCCTTGCCTAACAATAGAGAGAGATTAGCATCCATTAATGGAGTATTGAGCAGCTCCATAAACCATAGATACCAGACTCACGCCTCAAACAAATCTCAGAGCCATCACAAAGAGGTAAAGAGGCCAGTGCTGCTATTTTTAGGTGTTGATCGAGGGAAATCTGCACAGCATTATATTTCTTTTTCACCAATCCTCTGTTATCATTCCAAAGTCTTTAATTGGAACGATGGAAGCTTCTAGTATCTATGTCTTTATGGTTGCGGGTGAAGTGGGTTTTTTTTTTTGAGTCTGTCGAATGTCTTTGTGCCAATGCAGAGATGAGAATGTGTTGGTTGGTGTTTTTGCAGACACACTTCTGTGTGCCTCCTTTACTCCTACAGAGATACAGTATTGTTTTGAAAGTTTTTTTTCTAAAGGCCTCTCTGCCTCTCTATCTCTCTCTCTTTTTCAGAGAGTATAGAAGTCTCTTTATATTTTAGAGGTAATATACTTAGTGTGTCGCAGTGTGTCTCCAGCTGCAGTGAGATCTGAAGGCTGCCTTTCTGTTGTTCTCCCTCTGTCTCATTCTGTCGCACATACACACACACACACTTAGATACGCACGCTTTCTCTTTTTAACCTTTCGGTATGTTTCTCCTCTATTTCTGTATGTCTGCAGAAGAGGAGGATGATGCAGGATACCTGGATGTGGCTGTGTCAGAAGACAAGCATCCTCCCCCACAGCTGAGCCCCATGCCAGAGGGGCTGACCAGCCACCAGGTGCACCTGACAGATTTTGCACATATTTCTTCTTATTTTTTCCTAAATAAATGCAGCCCGCATATATAGACACATGCACTGTACTCAACGCCTTGCATTTATGTGAACATTTTCTGTACCAAATAGCCCTGAGATCTGGCTTTAGGCTGTTGTGTTAAAATTATTCATTTGTAATTTCAGTGTTTTTATATATCTATATGCTGTAATGTCTTTATCCTGTTTGAAAAAGCAGTGTGTTTTATAACAGCTAGAACAACCTGCATTTATGTCTTAGGAAATCCAATGATTCAGCTTTCAGATAGAGGCCTCGTTCAAACAGACCTACTCCTCTTTGAGTATTTTGCCTCCTGTGACAAACACATGATTATAGTGCAATCCATCAACCTGCGCCGTGTTTAACTGAAAGCATACCGCACACTGCAGCCCCATCATGTCCTCTTAGTGCAAGATTTCCTGACTGGTCTGTTGTCTACGCAGGTTGTCAGACGCCATATCCTCGGCTCCATCATTCAGAGCGAGCGGAGCTACCTGGAGTCTCTCAGGAGAATCTTGCAGGTGAGCTGTTTAGTCCCTGTTGTCCTCTTCTGCCACATGCAATATCTTCACCATTTAGCTTTTATGAATTACACTGAAAAGAGAAGCGGTGATATCCATCAAATTACCGAGGTGTCTCAGCATAAATAATCCTGATAAAACAGCCATCCTTATTTCTGTGGCATTGTGCTGATGCTAAGTGAGAGAGAGAGAGAGAGAGAGAGTCAGGCTTGCACAGGATGAGGTGCAGACTCTCCTCTTTAATATCTCTTTTTAGTGGGGAAAAGGAGACTTGTTATCTCCTCATCACAGAAAAATAAGAGGAGCACCTACTGAAATGGAATCAGCAGCAATCAATGGCTGCCTTATACACGGCAAGATTCTTCACTGTCAAGATACAATGCGCTACCTTTGTTGTCAAGAGACATGATTGCGTGTGATACTTGGGGAGGTTTAGCTCTTTTGAAATCTCTCTTGTTATTCAGAGAGTCCAGCCAAGTGGTAAATGCAGTGTCTCCAGACAGATAACATAAAAAGATGAAAGGCCACAAGCACAATTAGACATTGAGGGTTGTAACTTTCATTATTGCTGTAAAACAGATTGCACAGTTGTTCATGTTGTGTTGCCTGCCCATGTTCCTTCTGTCGAAGATTCATTTGCTGTGATGGATTTTCAGAGATAAGACCTGCAAAACATCAACAAAAATTACCACTTCTGTTGCTCAGATAGATAAATTTTTGGTGTTAAATAGTTTTTTCATCTTTCATGTTTGGCTGGTACACAAGATTATCTATACTTCAGCATGTTCAGATTCAAAGAAGCCATGTTTACTGGCTTCCACAAAGAATATTGTCCACAAAGAGTCTGTCAACGTATTTCTGTAGGCTATGCTAATATCCCCATGAGTGCTGACTGAAGAATCAATCAGTGCCTCTTTCACCATGTTGCTTTTGCATCTGTAACTCTGCTGGGAGCTGTTTTTTGCCATTATTATTCTGGCTTTTATGATTACAAGTCACCTTGACTTCTGTACATGCTTGCTAGTGGCAAATGCTGGTTTATGGGTGAATCCGTTGGATTGATGTGCATCCAGGCACCATGACTACATTTCCTTATTTTCCTCGATTCATAGGGTATTCTTCTGTTATCCCTTAGTTGTCTTTTTATGCCTCTGAAAAGAAGAGATGCTTAAGAGACTGCTGATTCATCTTAAGCACCCACCCCCACAAACACACACACACATACATATGCACATATTAACTAAATAAAAACCCAATTTTCTCCCACTATCTCACCAGGAATATCACAGACCATTGATGGAAGCTGATCCACGCATCCTGAGTCCAAGAAAGATCCGCCCTATATTTCACCGAATCAGAGAGATCACACAGTGCCACTCCATGTTTCAGATTGCACTGGCGTCACGTGTGGCTGAATGGGACAGCAGTGAGAAAATCGGAGACTTATTTGTTGCCTCGGTTAGTGTGCTTGCATGTGCATGTTTTTGGCATGTGTCTTCATATGTGTAAAATAGAAATGCAAATTGGAGGCTTATTTGCTGCTGTGTGTGTGTGTGTGTTTGTGTGCCTTCTTTGTTTGTTTCCATCTAAATCAATTGCAATGCAGTCAAAGACTTGCATTCTGGGTAAAGGCACTCATTTTCTTCTTGCCATTTTTATCTAATTGTAAAACACAATCTCTGCTACCAGAGTTATAATGAGCTACAGGTTTTAGATTGAGCAAACAGGGATAGTTTACCCCAAACATGGAATCAATTACAGTTGTGATGAATATCTCCACTGCATCAAGTGATCTGTGGGACACGTATTTACAAATTTTGGCACTAGAATTATCGTGTTCAGTGTGAGTTTACTGTTGTGAGTCTCTGCAGTGTGCTCATCCATAAGGTCTGCTCATTATTTGCCTATTAGTGGGGCTGATTCGACCTTCTCCTCTTCTGCTGGCCATTAAAGTGCTGTTCCATTGAAATCCAAAGACCTACAATAAAATGAGGCCTCACTGGAAAAAGAAAAGTTCTGCGACCTTTTACTCTACGTTAAGCTGCCCCTTTTTCATGTGACGATGTATATATACCTGCGAGGGGTTGGTAGTAATCTGAGAGGCAGGATTCTGAAGAAGGGTGTGAGCAAAGTTAATTCCTTCATGTGATTTGCTAATTCCCAACCACTCCTCAAACTGCCACTATCAGCTGCCTGGTGTGGATTTAATTGAGGAGAGAGAATAAATGTCTACCACAAAACAGACACACCCCCTCCCACACACACACTCTCTCACACTCCGCCACCTCATTCCTCTTTTCCCAACCTCTTAAATGGCTCGTGAAGGGTGTTGCGGTAACTGGTATGGTAAACAAACCCATTTTTTTAAGTACTATACTTAAATGGCCATTTTCTAGCCCCTCTTTACATTGAAATTACCGACAGTGTTGCCCTGTAAACAGAATGGTTAGCCAGACATTCAAGATGTCAGAAGAAATTACATGACTGTGTTTGTGGACTAGACCCTTGTATTGTAGGGCTGTTGTTACAAATTCAGATAATGATGCTTGTTTTTGTTTCCACAGTTTTCCAAGTCCATGGTGCTGGATGTATACAGCGATTACGTGAACAACTTCACCAATGCCATGGCTCTCATTAAAAAGGCGTGCATGTCCAAACCAGCCTTTCTGGAATTCTTAAAGGTGAGCTTCAGCCCATGAGCACTATATAGTTATGCTTTTTTTCTCAGTTTTCAAATTAAAGTTACTCAATTGTGTTTAAGCCCCCCTGTTTGTTTTTCTCTGTAGTGTTCAGCAGATGCTGAATCTAGCAAAGCCTCAAAGCTAAAGGCTTCAATAATACATACATCTCAGGTTGCCAAAGAAACAAACAAATAACTGTGTGTGTAAAAAGGTAGTTATTTATTTACACAAATACAAAGTTGTTATTCACATTGGGTTCATGGAAGGTATAAAAGTGTGTCCTGATTGTATGCAGTAGTCACTAAAGTACCAATTACATTGCACTGTAAAAGCTACTGGGCTAGTTCTAACTCTAGTAATGTCCAAGGTTGTCGAGTGAATAACATGTTCTACAATCATGTTGTAATTGACACGAATATTCTCATAATTTGGCATTCACAGGCTTCTATTTGTATGTTTCTCTGAGCACTCTGTGGACACTTTAGTATAACTTGACAAAGGTCCTGTGAGTTTCATAATGAAACATGGATCAATCAGCAAATGAATGAGGACCTCAACTAGAATACAAGCTGCAAAACATCTTGTTTTCTGGTATATGTGAAATGAAAATGGCAAATTTGGCAACTTTCCACAACCAGACAATCTAGATGCATTCTTCTATTTGCTTAATGTTTCAGGTATTAATTGTTAATCATGAACAAGGAAAAATAGTGCCAGGGTGCCTGGAGGGTGCCAAGAAATGATTTAAATGTGCTGTAACAATTCCCTTCGTGCCAAGCATTCATGCATGAGTTTGACCTGGATCATTGAGCTGTAATGCTGATTTACAGAACCAGATCACACAGCTGACAGCTCTGCATGTTACTGCAGATAACATGTGTCCCGTCCTTTCTGTTGAAAGGCTCCTTCTTTGTCTCTCTCACTGCTTGTTGCTGCTCTCTCTGGCAATGTGAAGACAAACCAAATAATACACTGGCTACACACAGACTGGAAAATGAATGAACTGAATCAAAGACTTCATTATGTTGCTTTTAAAATATTGTGCAGGCAGGGACTGCATGCACATGGCTATAAGCATGCAAGGGAATTTTACAGGGATAGGGAGAGAAGCATAGGTGAGTTTGGTATAAATCTGTTCTTTTTTTGATAGCATGGCATTTTCAAAAGTTAGCTAATTAATTCTCTGTCCCTGAATACATGTTTTCAATTATCCAGGCAACATTTCTTTATTGTTGTACATGGAAAGAAATATTGAAACAGAAAATTGTACACTCCAATCTCACAATCATTGTGTCCTATTGTGTTATTTTTGAGACCAAAAGTGGTGTTAGAAGTTGTGTACATACAGTACATATAGTGCAGTGTGGCATTTTCTAGCTCAGTTTTGAGAGCCTGTGTGGAGGTGCTGGCAGGCTGGTGCTTGGATGGCAGGACTTATTATTGAACTTGCTGAAGGTGTCATGGACCTAATCTAGTTCACATCAGCTGTGGAGGAAAATGTCCACTTGACAGGCCCAAGGACAGTTTTGCCCATTTCCCCTTTTTCTTGACATTAAAACTATGTGTCAAGTGTTTTAACCCAAAATTAGCATAATGGACAGTTAATCCATTGCAGCATACTGGTAAATGCTAAGGCCTCTTGCTATGCTGTTAAGGTTGCCTGGCAACAAATGCAGTTATTCTTAGTAAGGTAGGCGACATTGCAAGAATATATATTTCAGAACAAAGTCAAATGTTCCTGATTGGTACTGTATATCCCATGCTTATTGCATTGTTATTTGTACAGTAAGTACTGTGAATATAATATCAATAGTAACTAACTATTATATTATATACTAATACACTCTGTTCCGACACAAGGTTCACCCACTAATGGGATCCTAAAGCTTGACCACTTTCCTCTGCAGAGCAGCACACTAAAATTTGCAGCTACTTGCTCAGCGGGTCAGGTCTAATCTTTTCCAATGGTACTAGAATCCACTTTCATTCAGTAACTAAAAGAAAAAACATGACACTGAGACAACTTACCCGTGGTCAAGGAAAACCACCTCTCTACCTTGTGATTTTTGTAGCCGTGCCACCTGCCTAGGTGTGTTATCATTTTTTAACTTACATTGCTACCACTAGTTACCTTCCAGATACCGTCAGAGACATTATCCCTCTCTTGACATAAGACATCTACACTAGAGGTACTCTTGTGTCCAATATTTTGGACTCTACCTGAAATGGATCTTTGGAAAACTTGTTTTATGATGTAATGACTTCATACCATTGCACAAAGCAACAACAGCATGGCTTAAAGCAAAAGTAGCATTGCTGGAGGAGTTCCAAAAAGAGGAGCTTTAGTAGTGTGGAAGTGGTTTGTGTACAAAATATTCAACATGACATGTTCAGCAAACTACGGTGATAAGTAAGAAGTATAAGAAGACTGTAACAACAAACTTATGTCACCCCCTTAAGCAAAGGCTTGCTGTTAAATAGGGCCATATTTTAGGGCCCTATTCACCCACCCCTAATATTAATACACAGATCAGACCCGTGGCAATACAACAGGACCCTCCTTAACCCGATAAGACTGAATATAGTTTGGACGTGACTTGGGTTTTGATTACTAGGAACCTATTTGAAATTTATCAGAGTTTCCTCAGCTCCCATTACTAGCATCCTTACTGATGGATGTCAATGCCGCCATTCCCCGTTCCACCCAAACAACTAACCCTCAAGTTGTTGGTTCAGACTAAAAAATAGCTTTCTCAAAGTTTATTTCACATAGATTAAAATGAACTGCTTCACGTTGATAGTTAACCATTTTGAAATCTCTGCCAGAAAATGAAAATGAAACATGAAGTAGCAACAAGGAACTTTTTGCTGAGCGGCCCCTGTGGACAAAAGCGGTAGTCTTTCCACTGCCACTTGATTTCAATGGGAATCTGACTGGATCTGACCCAGTGGCAGGCATTAAGAATATTTTTTTATAGAGATAGTCAATCTTCCTGCTGATGGTCTTGTTATGTAGCTCATATAGATACATCAGTATGAAAATGACTTTTGATTGATTTCATAAGTAGTTAAAAACTCCTTGTAGTAGGTTTCATTGTTTTTTTGTGTACTCCCTAATAAAGTATCAACTTAGCAGTGCGTGAGCGTCATTACCACTCACAGGAATGAACAACAAATATTTCTTGTTCAGTCAAAAGGATCCTGCTCTTGGTCCAGACTCCAAAAGCTGACGGAAACATGACCCAGTTTGGTGTTAACTATCGGTGATTATGACAGTCAAGGCCTCTCTGTCAGCTGAGAAAATTCAGGTCATGGCCTGAGAGATTAGTTAGGTGAACTCCTGCTGCATTGATATCATCTCAGGCAGTGTTATGCTTTTAGACACCGTCTGTGGTGGACAGATTCGACTGAACATGACTCCCCTCCAAAATTGAGATAGAGAGGTTCACCTTAAAACCCCTCTCAAACACAACTGTCTCTCTACCTGACACCACTCAAGCATTTTTAGTGCATGAAGCAGGAAATCCATCCATCTCCATTGACATCTTGACCTGGTCAGGTGTGGTGTAAAGATTTTAGTTGCTGCTCCTCAAACTTTTCATGGCACCCACTCAGGGGTCACCTTTGGTTTTCAAGGTTAGCTTTGTAAAGTTCTGTGTATCTGTCCAGTTGCTGAACATTGGATCTTGCTGATTAAAATAGCCTCTTTGAGATCACTCCTTTCCTACCCTTGCCTGTGATTTAATAGTTGGGTAGCTGCTGGTGTTTGCACCACAGTTACCAAAGGGCTTCCTCTTGAGGCCTATTTACATTGTGTGATCTTGAGAGGCGAAATAAATGGGGTGAAATCTTTGGTTGTTAACCAAGAACACTGGTCTTTAATCACACTGTTAGACAAATACAACAATAGAGCTTTGGCAACCAAATGCAGGCTTTGTCAGAAATGTAGGATTTTAAGTCCCTCAATGTGACTGCTGCTGTGACCCATGTTTACAAACCAACCAATTGGAATACAACATGAAATGATGCAGAATTCACTGGTGAGCTAGCGTCATGTTTCTGCCAATACTACTGCCAAGATTTTCTTTTACCCCTCTCACGGAGTGACATAAAAAGAAGATTGATTTTATCACCAGTGAGAATGTTTCTGGTCAGGTCGAGTGCGGTGGAGTGTTTTTGCCTGCCTGTGTTCAGTTTTGTGTCAGTCGAGGTATTCCACAGGGGTCCCAGCAGGTGCTCAGTTGTGTTAGGAAGGAGACATCTGGTTTTAAAATGGGGCATTTTGAATGAGAATTAAATTCAAAATCAAAATATGTTTGACCAAAAACTGTGCCTTGAAAATTATTCAAAGTTTATTAATTTAATTTGTTGAATGTGATGTTCTAATCCTGTCTAATAATGTGAATATCATAACAAAAAAAGCCTGCAACGTTACAGGCCAGTGTTAGAAATGCTAAATGAAATGAGTAAATCAAAGAGAAAACAACAAAGCTCAGCTACAGTCCCTCAGAATTGTAGATCGTCAGCCCATCTCTGTCTGTCATCCCCCCCAAATACACAGAAACACAACATTCAGTCAGAGTGTTGAGTGCGTGTGGCCAAGCTGTGCAGCAGGACAGGAGAAAGAGAGGAGAGAAACAGAAAAGGTAGAGCTGAGAGGGAGCGCATTAAATGGAAAAAGCATTAAAGGAAAGTGTTGCTGAATGCTGTAAAATTGCAGCTTTCTTCACGAGCAAGGGACATGGTTGGTGTTTAAAAAGGAAAAAACATACTAGCAGGACCACCCCTTAAAACATCATATCACAAATACATTTCCTGTGTTGATTCTATATTTTAAAAACCTTACTGCTATCTAGGAAAGCAGAAGATGCGTATGCATGGAAATGATCTGGAAAATAAAGACCTTTATACTCTTTTCTGTCAGGTGGAAGTATCTTAAGTTATCAGAGCTACCAGAGCTGCATGACAATAAACAGAAGTCCAGGCAGACCTCTGAAGTGAAAATGAGGTGCAAATCGAACGCTCCAAAAGTGCAAAAAATTAATACATATAAATACTGATTCCTGTTGCCTTAATTATGAAGGTGCAATTATATTATTTTTAAACTGAAATTAACAATTTTACTGGCATAAACAGTTAACAGAAAAAAACATTTCAACAAAACAAATACATGGTCTGTTTTGAATGGGGTGAATGTGGAAATTGGTCTGGACTGACGTCAGATTCCCGGCCTGAACTATTATCCCAGCACTCCCCTGTCAGATATACTCAGACATTTGTGAATTATATTGTTAAGGGCTACAAAAACACACATTTAGGCTGGATCAGTTTACCTACAGTTACCAATATCTAGTCTCATATCAGAATATCAATATGAATTCAGTTTATTTTACAATATAAGGTATAAATTACAATGATATCTTCCGGTTCTAATCTTGTATCAGAGTTCTTAAAAGACGATGTCAGAAGTTTCAGCACCATTTTTTTCTCTTTATTTATATTTCTCTCCCTGTTGATCTTATCTCACTTTCACTACCATACCATCTATTAAATGTGCCCAGTGATTTGCCTTTTTGTACTGATGGTTTCATCGTGGCACAGACTTGATACTGCACAGAAAAAGCGATATCTTCTCCTGACCTACGCCCACAGTAATACATTAGACATAACACACTCAAAAACTCTACTCTTTTATTCCCTCATATGACTAACAGACCCTGATTTTCATACCTTATTCACCCACTCACACGCCTACACATGGTCTATAGAGGATTCTGACAAGCTCCTCTTAAAGTAGGAATAACATAGTTTCCTCTAAATGGCCTTTCTGTGCAAGAATATTTTTCCAACTGCATGATCTGTTTTAATGTGCTTTTTTCTCTCTTTTTTTCACCAGAAGAAGCAGGCATCTAGTGTTGACCGGATCACTCTGTACGGCCTGATGGTTAAGCCCATTCAACGATTCCCTCAGTTCATCTTGCTCCTACAGGTATAAAATGTTGTTTGTAAAGGTCTTGTCATTTCATTTGAATGCCTTCAAGTCTTACAAGCTAAAACATTTCCAATATGAGAAACTAGAGTTGAATTAAAGATTCAGCAGCACAGACACTAATAAAGATGCAGAGCTACAAGGCCACAGAATCGATTATGGATTTTAACTTATCCAAAGTACAAGAACTTTTACACTGGGGTTAGGTAGAGCTTAAAAAGTAGCTAGCCACAGTCTTTCAGTCTTTCTAATCAGTCTTTTATATTGCTGGTTTCACATGCCGACTCGTCCTCTTTCTATTCTGAGCAAAGATTTGGATTTGAACTGGCTGGATCTGCAGTAGCTCATTTCATCCCTCAGTAGGCATTGATTATCCATGAATTCAAAAGATAAGTTATGAATGTTGAATCAGGCATTTTCTTCTAGCCTAAACTCAGTACTCCATAGAGGAAGTGTATGTATTAAATCATACATTACAGGGAACTATAGTTCAAGGCACTGAGGTACATCTGAGATGCATATCAAGACAACACCAAGATTTAACTTGGTCATGGATGCAGGGCAAATATAGACACGCAAGCCACAGAGCCTACAGTTAGATAGACTCAGATCATTTGAAGTTTTCAAATTTTTTTTTTACTGGTTTGTTTTAGCCAGCACTGCTTGCAAAAAGGCAGATTGCAAAACAATGAGCTTTACAGAGTTTACATAACCACTGGAAAGTCAGCGTGGTGTGCACAGTTACCTAAATCCTCTGGAATCTGTGACAGTCACACACTAAACTCAAGGGGAGTATGTCACCCAGATTTCACTTTTAAAGGCAAAGACAACTCTCCCAACAAGAACACATTATTGTGTTACAACTCATATGTCACAGGCTACAGAGGAAAGTATTAAATCATAAACAGAGAATTTATTTTTCTTTTTTTTCTGCAGTGTCTTTACTTAAAACTTTCCTTGTGACCTTTTCTAGGACATGCTTAAGAATACACCGAAGGGCCACGTGGATCGTCTGCCCCTGCAGCTTGCTCTGACAGAGCTGGAGATGCTGGCTGAGAAGCTGAATGAACAGAAACGAGTAGCTGACCAGATTGCAGAGACCCAACAACTAGCCCGCAGCGTTAGTGATCGCCTGCTCAGTAAGGTGACTGGATACACATGCACTCCCTTCTGTGCACATGTACGTGCACTTGCACATACACATATGCCCCAATCAAATCAACTGTGAGCCAGCCTCTGAGCCCTTTAACTCCTCTGCGTTGTTATCACTGTGAGCCAAACACCTATAAATTAAACTAGTATACAGCAATCGCTTATATCACTTTCCCACACATTAATCTAGGGAGGCATTTTTATTTAGAGAAATTATCTCCTAGAAATGATGCCCATTATCATCCCTAAACAGTACCAAATGCAATGGCAGAGGCGTTGCCTCTCCATTACCACACTGAAATTACAGTCCTGCCGCTGCAAATCTGAACAAATGCTGCTCTGAATAAGAAGAATTAGGGGGTAAATGAGACATTTAATTGGAAACTGTAAGAGAGCTATCTCTTTCGCCCTGTCGCTCTTCCATTCTCTCCCTCCACTTTACCTCCCGTCTATTCCCCTCTTGCACTCTCTTGCTTACTTTCTCACTCCACTTATACACTCCTCTTCTCTTTCTCTAGTGTGACTGCATCTTCCGCTGTCTTCCTATTCCTCTCTCGCTCTCCCCCTCTCTTTATTTTCCTCTATCAGCCCTTGCTTTCCAGGACTCTGAGATGAGCTGATTCGGCCAATCTCCTCCACTCCACACAGAATTCCATTTGCTGCGGTGACACTGCAGAATTCCAATAGGAAGCAGCCTCCTCTATTGCCCCCATAACCATCCAATGAAATATTCATTCTTTGTCTCAAAGTATCTAAGTCTCCGGAATAGGACAGATAACAATGTGAGTGAGAATGAGTTTCGCACACATACACACACAGACATGCACTCCCGCTCACAAATTCACACGTGCATGGTGCAGTGCCCTCTGTGCCTACTGATGCTTGAAGACTTTAAGGGTGTATTCTTATAGCAGCCCACCTCTTGAGGGAGCTGTACGGTTTTGTGGCCATCAAATCGCAGTCCCACTCGGACTAATGACTCATTTTGTGTGCTATCTGAAAGCAGCTACAGATTGCCTGCAGACAGGACATCCTCCTTTGTGAAATATGGTCAGATGCGATACTGCACTGCAGGTCGCAGAATGGACACAGCAGAGAGATTCATTATTTGCTAAAATTTGTGCCTTTTGAGCAAACACAGACATCAAAGTATCAGGATGTGAACTCCAAATTTGGACTTAACCTGCTGCTTGCACTATAGTGGCTTCTCTTATATTGTGATGAGCCTGGCTTAGATTGGCGCAGTATGCAACACTGAAAGTATTGATTTAGGCAGCCATAAAAGAAGCTCGAGCAAAGTGATAAAAAGCTTTCTGTTGCTATTTCCCTTTGCCAAACATATGGATGCGCACAGCATGTGCCAACATACTGTAGCATAAATTGCATCTGTCATTGGATTCTTTAACTGTGTCTGTCTGTGCGAGGGGGTGCGTGTGTGTAAAGGTGTGCATGCAGCAAACTGTTTATGCATTTATATCCATGTGTAGTTGCCTTGTAGTGAAAAAGGATTGTGTGTCCCAGTGCTCATAAGCTAAGCTGGACTCTGGTATGGTTGATAGCATAGTACAGACAAAAAGACAAAGCATGATCTGAAGCATGTGTTGAAAGTATTTATTTAAAAAAAAATAAAAATAAAGGTTTCTGGCAGCTCCAGTATCCCCATTATACACTCAAACTTTAAAAATTTGAATAGGGTCCTAACCAAAACACAATTTTTTATTACAGATTTATGACTAGAACAACTTGACACAGTGCATCTAAAATTAATGTTGAAGCTAACATTTCTAAATGGCACATGCTATTGACCTGATATTTCCCCCTAAAGATCCCCTGCCTTCCCTAAAAAAGACAAAAATTAGTCTATGGTAGGGAGGGGTGGAGTGGAAGAGGTTAAGCAGCTAATTTCCTGAGCTGCTGGCAACAGAGAAGGCTGTAGGAATGTGGTGTGGAATATAAAATGAAATGAAACAAAGAGAGGAGCACAGTTGGGTCATAGTGGGTGAATGACAGTGAGCATGTAGGCAACATTAATGGGAAGTAATGACTAAAAACTACTTTGGACCATGCTTAATCATAAATCAGAGCTGGCAACTTTGGCCAATTGCTATATTCATTTCATATGCGTGAAAATACTATTCAATTCTTCTATTCAAACCATTGCTGATCAATACCACACACACTTATATTTACTACTACTACTACTACTATACTTATTTATTAAGTCCAACTGAAAGCTCATTTAGTTATCCCTTCGTAGTCATAAGTAATGCAATGAGGTTTTTTTAAATGTATTGTTAATAGTTGTTTTTTTTCCTTTAAAAAGACAAAAGATCTTTTGTGTCTCAGTGGCTGGAGGGGCTTATGGTGTCTGGGTTTGATTGGCAGCATCTGCCAGGCTGCCAGAGTGCCCGTGTAATACCATAAGCAACGAGAAACAAACTGATGTTGTAGCCTGCAGCAGTGATTTTGAATAAGAACTGCAGCAGCATCTAACTGGACCAAAGTGACATGTAAGGTAAGTTTACATGCTGTTTAATGTGCTGCAGCTAAGCAGCTAATTAGCTATCTAGCCGTTAGCAGTGCACTATTCCCCAGTGAATGTTTGTTTGGTGGCTCATTCAACAAGCTAAGGTGCAGGACAAGATGTGTTCATGTTTGTTGTTAGATAAGATTTAGAATTTAGCAGGAAAGCTGATGCTACACGCACCTTATCATCATTCAGTACAGACTCAGATGTAACTTTAACCAAAGTTTTATTGAAAACACTGACTTGATGCAACATGACTGAACCTCATTGCTGAGAGTTCAGACTGGTTAGATTGATGGGATTATGTATTTATAGATGTATACAGATGCGTCAATTGTGGATCTGGCTTCAAAACCTAAGCTTATTAGTTATTAGTTTTTATCTGAATGATTATCGATGTTGACTGCAGAGATATCTCAATCAAGTTTTTCTGGCTTAGATTCCCAATCCAAGCCCTTAAATATTTAGTATTTGCTGATACATAGTCTGACCCAATATTAGTATTTATTGATGCATTGAAATATAAGCTCTGTTTCACACGACTTATTTACCATAGCCAGGCAAATTAGATGATAACTGGCTGTCTATACTAACATCTACTTTCAACAAACTGTACTGTAACATCTCACCTACAATACAGGAAAACACTTATATACAGCAGGCAAAAACATCTGAAGCTGGCCTACAACAAGATGAACAAAGCGATGAATGAACTGCTGATGTACACTGCATGTTTTCTTTACAGGGGCTGAAAGTGGTTTAAGAAAAAATTGAGAGAAGCCAGTGTAAGTGGTTGTGGCACCTGCAAAGAATGCCCCCTGGGGGCCTCCATTTAGAGCTATTCCTGACTCGATTGACTGTAAGAAGACCTCAAGGTAAACCTTCTTTCTCTCCTTTTTCCTTCCCATATTCTATCGCTTCCTATCACTGTGGTTTTCCATTTACCCAGAATCCCACAGGATTAATAGCAGATGACCATCGTCTCCTTTTCTCTTATCAGGTTATCTCAACACACTCTCTTCACCCAAACAGGATCTTATGTTACTGTGCACCTACCTGTCCAGGCTTTCAGTCTTGTACAGAAATCTGCTATATTCATCCAGCAGAGATGCATGTGTTTGTAGAATAATGACATTGTAAACCACCACAGCTGTCAACATGATAATCATCTTCAGCTCGTAGTTTATCCTCAGGAACACTGAGCAAGAGATGAGGCCCAGTATGCAACTGTAAATTAAATACTAGACAGACAAAAAGAGACAGAAATTGGTCGATTCATTCCAAAGTTATCAAAAACAATAATTCTAAATGAATATTTAGACATGATAATATCATAATAATAAAATAAATCCTCACTTACAGGAAGGTAGAAATTGTTTTTGCCAGTGTAGGTGATTAGTTGTCCATTAGGGTGAAAAAGGGTTTCATTGGATGAATTGTAAACAGGTGCCGGAGGAAACAAATTGTCTTCCAAAAAGAACTAAAAAAAACAAACAAATACAAAACACAGAAATGAAGGGCTAGTCTCATTTTTGGGCAGTGCTAAAATATTTTTGCCATTTAAATGCACAACAAAAAACAAACCACACAATTCTGTCTGTTTGCTTTACACGTCAGGATGTGAAAAAACGATCTAGTATACACTGTACTCACAGGAGGGAAAATAGGATCTTGTTAGACAGGAAGCCAATAGTGACAAGCGTTCAATAATGTCCTTTATAGAGAACCTATAGGATAAGATGAAGATTGGCTGCCCCACTGAGTAAAGCCAAGTTAATTTGGCTCATCGGCCTAGAGCAACTAACCCACGTCAGGCCCAAAACAAGATTCTAATCTCTGGAATTGATTTATGTGAAGGTCTAGACAGGGGTCCTGACACCGCTTTATCACGCAACTTCTCCATAATCTTCAGGCTACCATTTCATCTTTACCAAGCCTTTTTATTCCTGTTTTTTTCTCTCTGTAGAAATAAACAGATGTATGTGAAAATGTATAGTGGAGGAAAATAAATGTTTAAATGTTGTTAAATATACAGTATTCCCTAATCACTAAATGGTGTTGGAACGGTTATGCGGGTTATGCCGCAATCATATTGTTGGAAAAGGCCAACGGACATACTGCTTGGCAAAAGAAAATAATCCGAATTTTTTCTGTAGCTGATTGTGTGGTAAAATATCCAGTTTGTTTGAGGCTTAATAAACAAAATAAATGGAAAGCATAGAGATAAATAGTACATTAAAATTAGACATATTTAACACTGTGGCACCTCATCCCTTTTTACTGTTGCAGGAAATAAAGATTTGAGTTGTTTTTATATTAAGTGAAATCAAGACAGCAGTATTAGTATAAGTTTGTTTGACAAACACGATCTTGCAAATAACATCCCCTGTTCCTATTTGTTTATGTCACTAGTGGCCAATTTATTTATTAAACGTATTACTTGTTATGACAACATGTTGCATTCCATTACCGTCTAATTACACTGCCGTTAGAAATAAGTGGGGTGTCATTTGAAGGTTTGTGATACTTCATTCCAAGTGAAGCCTAATTGGTGTTGCCCCTCCCTTACAGCAGTACCTGCACATAAAAGCTTACCATGTTGAAGACTGCCATTATGAGTATTAGAGCTGTGGTTGTCATGGTGAGAGTGATGCGAGGCCATGGCTTGTTGGCAATAATGACTGATGACCTCAGCAGCCACATCCAAGAAGTGGAGGCACTTTTACTGCAGTGCTGCAGGGACACGTACACACAACAGCATACAAAAATACAAAAATGTATGAGTCGAAGTACACAAGAGGACTTGAGCTGAGATACTAAAGAGCAGCAGATTCAAACATCACAGAGAAGAAACAGCGGAACAACCTCATGCACTAATTAAAATAAGTTCATATATATGAATCTGAACAGACATGCACAGTAGATTCATTATTTCTGATGATTAAAAACATTACTTTGAAATAAATTAAACAAAACATGAGTTCACATACTGAAGCACCTATTACTGATTAACTCTTAATTGCCTCAGCAATGCCAATCAACAAGAGGCATACAATTATGAAAAGAGGGGCTCTATCAATTTATCAGAATCAGAAATACTTTAATAATCCCAGGGGGGAATTATTTTCATTACAAACTCCAGATATACATAATAATGTGTATATATGTATGTGTGTATATATATGTGTTATAATATATGTGTGTTATATATGTGTGTAATAATGTTAATGTGTATATATATGTATATGTGTATAATATGATATATATATGTAATGTTATATATGTATATAGTATGTATATATGATATATGTATTATTGTATGTATGTATATATGTATATATATTATATGTATATATATGTGTATAATGTATATTTATGTTATATATTATGGTATATATGTGTGTGTATATATATGTGTTGTATATATATATATATATAAATATATATATATATGTGTATATATATATGTGTGTATAATATTATATATATAGTGATATAGTATGTATGTATATATAGTATATGTATGTTATATATGAATATGTATGTATATATATGTTATATGTATGATAGTATGTGTATATGTATATATATATATACATACATTATATATATATATTATATGTGTATAGTGTATATGTATGTGTTATGTGTATATATAATATATCACATATATATTATATTAATATATGTGTGTATATATATATGTTATATGTGATATATATATGTATATGTGTGTACATATATATGTATGTTATTGTGTAATTTATATATATGTGTATATATATATGTATTATATGTAATGTATATGTATTATATATATATGTATGTTTATGTATATATGTATTGTATATATATATGTATGTATGTATGATTATTGTATTGTATGTATATTGTTGTTGTATGTGTTATGTATGATATGTATGTGTATATGTATGTATGTATATGTATGATATGTTATGTATATGTATGTATGTATGTATATGTATGTATATGTATGTATGTATATTATATAGTATGTATATATATATGTGTATGTATGTATGTAATATATATGTATATATGTATGTATATATATTATGTGTATGTATATATGTGTATATATATGTTGTAGTATAGTGTAGTATATGTTATTATATGTATGTATGTATATGTATGTATGTATGTATATATTTATAGTGTATGTATGTTATGTAATATATATTATATATTATATGTATATATTATGTATGTATATATATATATGTTAGTAATATGTGTGTATATATATAATGTATATATGTATTGTATATATATTGTGTATATATATATATATATATACACATATACATATATATA